GGGCCCAGGCGCCCAGCGGGCCCCTGGCCAGGGCAGCGGCCTTCCCGTCGAGCGCGGGGCGCGGTCTGTGTTTTCTGCCCCCTGAGGCAGCCGAGTGTTGCGCCCTTTCAGAGTCCCTTCTAGAATTTAAACCACTCCCGTATCTTTTATTTATTCGGCCCGTGCACTGAAACGGGAGCTGAAGTACCAAGTCAGTAATCCCCGTGAAATAAAACAGCACGCGTACCGAGAGGTAAGAAATATCCTTTCTTTTATTATTGTTTTGTTTCCTCCAAAGGCTATAAATAGGAATTCTCGTTGATTTCAACTGAGATACATGTCAGTTTGGGGGCCTTTATTATAAGCAAATAAAGGTATTTTTTATTCAGATTGAAAGGGATAGAAAGATAGAGCTTTGGATAGAAGACTAATGCAGATTAGGTCAATAGCATGAACCGGCAAGGGATATAAAGGAAAATCTAGGCAGAGTCCCTCTCCAGAACACTTTCACACACTCGCTCTGATAAAATAGAGCAAGGCCTTCCTTCACGGTAAAATAAAAAGCACTAATTAAAACCCAGATAAAATAAACAAGCAAATCCCTTTTTAAGGGACAGCTGCGCTCTGGCAAAAAAACCCCTAATTCCAGAGGGAGCCATAAAATTAGGGACTTTGGCCAGAAGCCACTGAATGGAGGAGCAAAGAGTTGACTCCTCATATTCAGTAACTACCGTATTACAAAGCAAGTCTCCGTACAGACCCAGCTAGGGAAGCGTATCAAGCACTCGTACTAATACCCGAATGCGTGGGGAGTCTCGTTCCACCCCTTCCAAAAGTGTTCCACAGGCAGGGAGGGCAGGAAGGCTGCTGCCTTGCCTTGTTTTTTCTTTCACCACCTCCACAGAGAGCTGGAAGCAAGAACCAGAAGTCAAACCACAGTTGGGGAAAGGAGAGCAAGAACTCCAGAGTTCTGGAGTTCTGCAGAGCCCCAAAACACAGAAAATTAAAATCGATTCCCAAAGGAAGACAGTCCTCAAACATGTGCTTTCTGTATCATTGCACACATTCCTCTGCTCCGAGCAGCTCGATGGGAATTAGGAGTTCACACACACAAAGTGAAGGCAGACTTGATCAAAGCCCAGAGGAAGTCAGCACCATTCCTTTTGCGCATGCTAAATTGATTCAACCCCGAATCTAGCAGATGGTTAGACGGCTTCCACTAAAACCAGAAATGCTAAACCAGCAGCAACACGTTTAGTGATCCACCACAGGCAACGCAAGAACGTTCATGGCTGCACGCTTTGAACTGCAGTCCTAACAATTAATTTACATCTTCTCCTCACGTCTCAGCTGCAGGTCTGTGAAAGGACACCTCAGGCAGCAGAGGCCCAATTACACACGTAGCTGCAGATCTATATTCTTGAGTCTGCCCAAGCACGTGGGCAATACTGGGAGGATGACATCTCCCAAAGAAGAGGTCTCATCTTGAACTACATGGTTCAGTCCACGTTCTAAAATTTAAGACCTCTCACTGAGTAAGGAATCATTTCTTTTAGACTTGCAAAGCTTCAGAAAACACAGAAAATTTGTTTCAATACCAAAAGAATTCACAGCAGTCAGCATGATAATGAGTTCCTAACCCATATATGTTACTCCACAGGAAAGTCACAGATGACATGGAAAGTAAAAGCTTAATGGTGTTTAGAGATCAGTTTAAGTAAAGGTGGAAAAAAAAAAATTAAAAAAAAATCAAAAGTTCATGGAGTCATAACTTCATAATAATAATAATAATAAAAAAAAGAGTATATTAAAATGACTTGCCCCATCTTTATGTAGAGATTATACATATTTAAAATACTATTTTCCAGGTAAACATACAATAAAAACATTATTCAAATAGCAATTAAGATATCCCGCATTACAAGATTCTTTTAGAAAGCTTCGTTCTCGTTACACTATTTTCAAGTATATCAGTCAGGTGAATCAGTCAGTGGTATAAAAAGCTGCTTCTACTTTTTCTACTGCACTGTCTTCCCCACCCGGTTTCTCCTGGGCAACTGGTTCTTGTTCTGCAAGCACACAAACCCCTGCTTTACTGGATCCTTGGATTTAGAAAGGCCACCTTTTTGCAGAGAACGGGAACTGCAAGCAGTAAGGGTCCCACGTCCAGCCACTTCCTGGCTCAGTCGGAATCATCAGCACAACCATCACTGCCTTCGAGATCGCTGCTGTTCTGTAAAGTAAAATGGAAAATGGTTTGTCAGTATTTCGTTTACATCTAGAGACTGACCTAAATCAAAGACATCTTTGACTGTAAACTACTCCAAAAGCGTAAGGAAATGGGGCTAGATCCCAACATCGTGTCTTAGACCCATCTATTGTAACAAAATTCTGTGATGGTAAATGACACTTCTTGTAGCAAAAAAATGGTACATTGGATTACACTCACCAGCAGAAGACATTCCTTCTCATTTATATTTACAACGGCATGATTACAACCTGCAGTATGTGGGAAACTTAAAAGTGGGATAATAGCATGAAATGCTGATGTTTAAAATAAATGCAGGTGAGGCAAGTTAACAAGTGCTTTTTTCATGCAAGTCCCTCAAAAGCTGTTTGTTACATTGTCTAAAGCCAGATTTGAGAATTTTGTTTGTCTGCTGCAGAGAACTTGCGTCCAAACTGTATGAGAGAGATGCAAGGGCTCATAATGCAAGGGCTAATACTTGTTTAAAAATGAAGTCAGTCGTACAAACTAGTATTAGGGAAATACTACAAACATTAGCAACTTACAAGGAAACTGAAGTCTGAGTTCTTAACTGGGAGACACTCCTTCAGGAGTAAGTCAACACGGTGCGATAAATTTGGGGGGTTTACGTAATTTTTTGAAGCAAGTATTTTGACTGATATGATTGGCATCAAAGGATTTTAGAAAGAAAGGCAGGCTAACATGACAATATGCCTGTAGTTACTCCTTTTTTTCCTCACCACCACTTGCTGAAAACATATAAACCTCCAAATCCCATGAATTTAACATTGACAATTTAATATTCTACTGCAAAACAAATTCTGAGAGACTTGGACAGTTGCCTTCGTAACAGCAAGCACAGCTCGCTGAAGTGCAAACAGCCTGCAAAATCTCAAAGGAGTCTGTCATATCATCCCTTATTTATCCTTCTCCAGACAACTTGTGCTAACTATGATGCCAAAACTGTGTTTGGTCGAGTTTATCTAAAGCAAGCAGACCTGCCTCCCGCTAGCAATACATCAGTGATTTTTGAACCTGTCAGCAGTAAGTCCTGCCAACATTATCATCAAGACCCCTGAGCCAGGTAAGGAGACTCTGCACCACGCGGTCTCTTTGGGTGCCATTTAACCAAACTAATGTGGCATTTGTCATAACCTCCTGTCACAGATGTCCTCATACAGCACTACACTTCAGAAAAACAATCACCACAAGTACAAAAATAACCCTGAGAAATTTCTGGTATCTTGCTTGTACTGTTCAACGAGGCTGTAAATTTTATTTTATATGTTGAAACTCTTTCTCGTACTCAAACAAAAAATGGCAAAGACAGGATTAAACCTAACATTTTTCAGAGCAGGATCATTATCTACACAAAATAAAGCTAATTTTAAAGACTCCATTGAGTGAAAAAATGTCATTATTTTCTTCTGAGTTGCACTACTCAGAAGTTTTAGCCCTGCCCATCATTTGTCCTTCAAGGATTTGCCAGCCCTCTGACCAAGAAAATCTGAATTACATACAGAAGTACAAGG